TCTTTCTGCGTGGTTCCCAAGCTTCTCCAGCTCTGTGTTATAAACGACCTCCTACCTGGGGTGCCCATCTTCATCTGCAGAGGTTCTACTTGCTGAGGAGCAGGCATTGGGAGGCAGGGAGGTTCTGGCAGATTTGGACTATGGATGCTGAATGGTCAGTAAAGAGAAACAGACTTGATTCTACAGTCCCTGCAGAGAAGAGCCGCTCAATCAGAGCAGCTCACATGGGCAGAGCGGGGCAGTGAGGAAGAGGATTACAGGCAGCTCTGCTAGGGCAAAGGTGTCTACCGACCTGATTTTAAGCATGAGCAACTGCTTAGCCACTGTAGGGCCTTATGCAAGTCACCTCTGTCTCTGAGATAAGTCTCTCATTTGTAAAACAGGAAGAGGACCAAGGTCTGTGTCCTAGTCTAGTAGTGGTAGTAATTACATGACAATGAAAGCAGTGAGACAAGACTAAATACAAATGCCCCCCCCAACTCTAGGTAGCCAGTAGCAGCTTAAGAATGACCAAGTCTGCATCCAAAGCTACAATACACCTGAAGACATAGGAGACTTTCTAACAATGAAGAAGGCTGCAAGTGTTCCTGAAGTCTCTGGGAGAACCTGGAGTATGATCACATTTTGGTGCTGATTGCAATCTTAGGAAACATGGAGTTCAAGGTTTACTAAACAATGACTGCAGTACTCCAACAAGCCAGAGATTCAGACTATAGAGGCATGTGAGGCTCTCGGGTCTCCTTCACTCTTCTTGGGGCCACTCTGCTTTCCTTTTATCAGTGGCACATGCTGGGGACCCTGCAGGAGAGTGCATCTGAGTAAGCATACCTTGTAGTCAAAGGCAGGATTGGGGGGGGGGGGATCACACTGGTTTACATCCTAGTTCTCCCACCAAGCAAATCTGTAAACTCTCAGGTTCTCCTACAGAATAGGAATGACAGTACTTGTATGGAATAACTTACCAAGTTCTTAGCATTATGTTGCATCTGGCTTTTGGTAAGTGGTACCTACATTTGCCATATCCCTAGCACACAGAGATGCCCCTCACAGTACCATCAAGGAAGGGAAGCACTGATAAGAAGGCCAGGTACAGAGACTATAACTGGTTGTGGTGCCGAGGGTAAAACTTTCATTAAGAGGGCTAAGTGAAACATTTTAGATCCCAAAAGCTAGTATCAGAGGGTTCTGCCCTTTTCCATTTTCTGGGTTCCCTTGACCCTGAGGTTACACCCAATTCTTGGCATGCTATCTCATGAAATATCAAGGGTTCTATCCTTTTGGGATAGTCCCAGGCAGTACTTTGTGAGGCCATCCTATAAGTAAGGTGGGACCCAGGCTACCTAATCCCTAGGTAAAGAGTGGCTGTCCCAGGGAACAGTCCCTGCACTGTGGTCAGGGACTAAGTTCCCAGCTTTGTAGTGACTGCAACAGCTTGAAGAGGTGTGTGGAAGTCTTCTCAGTGTGTTCTCTTGCGGGAGATTCTGCAGCCCATGGTAGGGGCAGTTCTAATCAAGAAAGAGATGCCAAATTCAGAGATCTGGACCCCAGTAAAGGCATCACTATTGAACCATGTGCTTCATCGGCTGAAAGCTATGTTACTAATGAAATATGAAAAAGAACAAGACAAACAGGGGTTGGCACAAATGTAACTGGAGCGCAAGAAATATTTACCAAGTGAATAAAGGAATGAGACTTGAACACCCGAAGAAATATACCTCATATTAATATACCACAAAAGTCAATCTGAATTAAAATGTAACGTAGAAGAAGGGACTTCACTTAATATTTGTGTCACTGTTAAAAGAGTAAGTTGTCTCATTAAAAAGTGTCTCCTTACTATCTGAAGTCTCAATAGCCCTTGGCCTGGCTTGGTGGAGGGAGTTCGGTTCTGTCACTAGTGGCTCATCCTTTACCTGAGCTTCAGTTCCCATTGTTATGGGGATAACAACAACTGCCCTGATTATTCTCAAACAACAGGAGAATACACTCTCCATGCAACACCCACTTGAGGTCTAACTGTAAAGATGCCTATCTGCTTATCACTCCTTACTGACCTCTACCACCTTTCCCACCAGGAATCTTCTGCCTATGCAAATCTCTGCAGTTCAAGGTCTGGCTCCCCACCCTACCCTTCCAACTAGCTCCTGCTCCTTTCCCTGTTCCTTTGCAACTGCTGTTTAATTACTATTCAGGAAGAGAGAGGCTCAAGGCGGAGTGTTTAAAGCTCAGACCAAGCTTGCCCTAAAAGCCTTACCAAAGATGAGGGCGCTGACACTGTTACGGATGTGCACTGAGGAGTGAATTAGAACAGCCATAGAAAGAGCCTCACACTCTTCACCCAACCCTCGGCTGCTGTGGCTGCTGCACACTGCACCTCACGGCTTCCAGAACCGTATCACCCCCCACATCCCTAAAAGACTTCAGTCCTCAGAGCAGGAACCCTGTCCTATCCATTTCTGATCCCATTCACATTCCAGAAAGGGGCTCAGCTCACAGCTATTTCCTCACAGAAACACTTGTTGAGTTGATTAAATAAATGAATTGCTTCCCTTCAAACAGTGTTCAGATCTTCACTGTAGTTTTAGAGAGCTATCTTTGAGAAAGTCAAAGTCCACAGGGTGAAGTTATCTCTTACAACCCTTAATCAAATCAAAAGCATGTGAGTAATTCCCAAAGCACTTACACAAGCCATTATTCTAGGGAGATACTTTACCATGCTGGGTATGTTACGTTAGTTAGCTGCCTACATATTCCAAAGAAATAGATTTGATGTGGGAAGCTCTGCCAAACTCTAGGAGACTCCCTATTCCTGAGACTCACATTTGGATCTTATAGATGCAGAGCGGTACAGAGAACACACATGTCTGAATACTAAAAGTCCTACGTAAGTCATGGGAGTTATGTACTAGTACTTTTACAGTATACACTTCTCAAGTATGTTAGGTATCCAACTCTTCTAGCTCCACACCCTAGGTAATATTAGGGAACAAGCCTGATATAAATCTATGTTTTAAGAAGAATAACATAAACTGTAACATGGTCAACAACAAAATTCTTAATTTCAGATGTTATCTGGAGCTGTTTCTTTCCAAATCATCTGCACTTCTTTTTAATTTACCTGGAGAGGTCTTTGGGAAGCATATCTGATCTTCCCCAGAACAGGTACTTACTCAATCTCTGAGCTGTTGTTGTCAAAGGCCTTCTACAAACCACTTTCAATATGACTTCATGCCTGGTTCTTTTATCTTCAGTTCAGATAAGGAAGAAAGAACATTTGCCCTGTCTAAGAGCTTGCATTTTACTGAATCCCAAGTACGAGCACCCTGCTTGTCTTCAACCTTTCTTCCAGCCTCACCAGTCATGACTATCCAACATCATCACTAGTTTTCAAGCAACTAATGGGAAGGAGCTACGAGGAGACCTTTGCTGCATAAGAACTAAATCCAGCACATGCTGTTCCGCTTACATGAGAAATATAAAATTTCTACTAGAAGGCAAATTCATTTTCTCAAATGGCTAAATCAAGTGGTCCCTCAAGAACTCATCTGACCTGGGTTAGTGCTCTGAAGACAGTCTAAAATGAGACACGCCTCTTTCTGGGTCCTAGCGCCTCACTTGCTTTTGGTGTTCAGTGCTCACAACAGCCAATAGGTGCTAGGAGCGGTGTTGGCCTTGGGAATGTCCTCTGCCTTACTGGAAAGATCCGAACACCTGTTACGATTGTTCTGGAAGGACTGCTACGTTTCCTGATGCCACCTCTGTGAGTGAGACTTCTGCCTGTCCCGCCCTTTGCACCTTTGCTCCCTTCCTCTTTCTGAGAACACAGCAGAGAGAAAACACTATGCTCTCCAGCTGTTAAAATGTTTTCATCTAAAACAACAAAACTACGAATGGGGTCTACGCAGCAATCCAGCCACTGGCCTCCTCATGCCGAAGCCCGTGCTCTCAAGCACTCTTACCCGACTCTGTCACATGTCCTGCCTCCTGCTGTGCAGCTCCTAGCCCCTACCCTACTACCTGGGGTTGGAGAGTCCAGGATGGGCAAAGTTGAAGCCAAATGTCACCACTTCCCCTGCACTTTGCCTTGTGAAGCACTTGGAGAAGAAACATCCTAGACAGTTTGATGTTTGGCTCAAAGGCTGCAGACAGCAACTGTATATGCAAGATTCTTCACATGAATACTTGATGGCCATCCTATACCCGGCAAATAGGCTACCCTTTTGGCTATAGGCAACGCCACTTGTCAGTAGGGTTACAGGATGCTGCCTTTGCGCTGTCTGTCCCTGAGGTAGGACAACCAGGAAGGACAGTAACAGGTAACGAGCAGCGAGCAGCGCTCTTCTCTCTGACCACAGGTATTAGTGAGAAGGATGCAGCCAGAAACAAAAAGCTGTTTGGTAGTAACTGGCACCATCAGGAGGTGGTTAGGCGGACAATCACACTTTTATCCTCCTTACGCTTTTTGACTACAGATTTAATTTAATTTTGTCATGGCAGGATTAGCAACCAGGCCATAGAGGTGAAGGGACATTATAATAAGACAGCACATTAATCCTCTATCCCACCCAAGGCAGAAGCAAAACCAAACAAATAGCAGCTTCCTGGAAATTGAATTTCTGTTATCCAGATGTCAAAGATGTAATACCCCAATTACACAAACTATTGCCAGTGAAGCATGCCAGCAAATATGCAATGTAAATGGGGTGAGCACCCAGCGACAAAACTGCGCAGTCAGCATCTGGCTCTGTGACTGAGTGATAATTAGCACTGTGTGTAGACACTAATAAACATTTATGTCTGAAATTACAACTTTTAGCAATGTTAATAAGGGATATATTGGCAATCTGTAAAATAAAAGGTCTTGAAAAGAATGTCATACATTAAGCGATGGCAGACATTTCCCGTTCTTGCACAATCTCTCCCCCCCTACCCTGCCCCTGAAATTGCAAATGGCCACGCCATGCTGTTTTGCTGAGAAATTAATTGACATAGGAACCTACCTAAAAAAATGGGTTGTGTCTCTTTGGTCTCCCCATTAACATCGTTGCTGAATTCTGAGATTTTATACACCTCAGGGTGATAATCTGGCATGAGAAAATAACCGAAAATTAGAATTTTAATGATTTCAAGAAGGAGGAATAAGCAATTCAAGACTCCCGTTCTCTATGTGTGTAACTTATAGGTATATTTTCAAGAACTCTCGCAGAGACAGTAGTCAACAGAAACCACTCAAACTTTGCTCATTGTGAAGTACACAAACTTTAAACATTACTTTGACTTTACAGACAGTTCGGTTAGTTTTCACAGTAAATTTCCCCTCAGACACCAATTACCAGGTTTCTTTTCTCTGAGACAGCAAAGATAAAGAAAAATCTTGCCGAATTGAGGGCCAGGGAAGTCTCCCAAATTTATTTCCACAACCCATTTTTGAGAGCACTAGTAGTTTGCCTCCAAACTGCCTCTTGACTCAGTTTACTCAGAGCATCTTGGCTTCACAGTAAGCACATTTTTTTCCAAAAAGATGCTGATGTGTTAAAACAAAAAAGGAAACAAGATTTTTACCTTTCACACAAGTGAATCTTTTGCATTCAACTACTGTACTTTATTGAACATGCAATAGTTTTATCACCCCCCAAAAAATTGTTTTTGGAAAGCACCTGCACAGCAGAATCAAACTCATCATAAAAAAGAACAGAAAGAACTTGCTATATCAATCAGATTTTCAAATACAGCATCTTAGAATCTCCTGTGGAAGCTACAGAACTTTGGTAACTTTACAAAACGGGATCACTTGGGTATGAAAAGAGGGGTCTCTTTCCATCAATTATCCAAGCTTTCACAGGACAGTGTGACAAAACTACCCTCTCTTTTAAGACAGAGTAGTCAGTTCCCTGAGGTCATAGACAGAAAAGCAGCCCCCATTCCTGAATGGAGGACATTGTATCAACAGGGCCATTACACACAGAGAGATTTACAAAGTACAAAAAACGGAGTAATCAACATCCTTGTTGGTAGGGCAGGGTGCACCAAGAAAGAAGAGCCAAATATTTTGAATACATACACTATTTCAGGCCTCTATCATTAAACAGTACAAAACTAAATTAGGGGAAACACAGATAAGCAGATCCTCAAAATGTCTATAATTAAACCATTTCCAAACTAACCAAAAGTGGGCTTTACAGAATCCTCCTTTCAACTTAGCTGAGTTTGAGAAACTTGATGGCTTGAAATCACCCTCCAGTGTCCATCTGTTTACACGTGACTTCTCAGGTCCTTGGAACAATCATGTGGTTCTCTACTCTGATGCCAATGCTAGATAAAAATCACTCAGGGAAAGTGGACAGGTTCTGTGATTTGGCTTTGATCTCAAGAGTTGATTCAAAGATATTTAAAGAGGGTGGGCTGAAACTGTTAGGACCTGTGCCATTACCATGGGGGTGGGGAGGGGTGTCACCCCTTTCATTTATTAAGGTGACACAAAACATTTTGACAGGTGTATTCCTTATCTTGAATTGTCATCATTTAAAAACAAAAACTCAGAACAGGAAGATAGGTTCGAACAAGTAACAGAACCCAGAGGAGACACTATTCAACTTTCTCCTCCCCGGACAAAATAAAAGTATAAAGAGTGTGCTGTACACCTGTTAGTCTGCAGGACCTAGCTGGAATTTTTTTCTTTCTATCTTGTAATGACACTTTGTCTGACTGGTAGACGATCTAGTCTTAAAACACCTTTCCACCCAAGGCACTCAACTAGAAAAGATGCTGCATGTCAACAATTTCTGTTTTGAGCTTGGATCCCTAATGAGCTGATTCTTCTTCAAAAGAACAATGATTATCTTTTCCCCCCTCCCTTCTCTTTGCGGGGTGGGGTAAATAAAAAAGGAAAACAAAAACAAATCCCAGTATATGCTTGGCCTGCCGGCCAGGCAAACCCTCAGCCACCCCAGCCCAGCGGCGACCGCGGCGGCGGCACCCCCGAGCGGGCTCGGCTCCCCGGTGTCATTGTTTGCTAATTTCCTGACGTGCCCTCCGACTTGTTTACCTTCAATAACACCCCGTGGGTCCCCTCAGGCACAACTTTCCCCGCGGCGGGGCGTGTGCGGCCCGCGGGGCCCCGGGTTCGGGCGGGGATGAGGGGGTCGTGGCGGGCGCGCCCCCGGCGTGGAGCCCGCGGGCGGCCGGGGCGCGCGGGGCCGAGTGCGCGGAGCGCGACGCCGGCTTCCCGCCGCTGTCCCCGGGCCGGCCGCTTACCTCGGCTCACCAGTTTGAAGCTCTGGGATTTCCTGCTTCTTTTCCTCTCGGAGAACTCCATGGTGCGGGCAAGGTGGCGGCGCGGCAGGAGACCGAGGCGGCGGCTGAGGCGGGCTCGTGGCACCGCCGCGGATCCGCCGGGACCAAGGTCCGCGTCTCGATCGGCGGGGGAGGCCGAGGGACGGGAGGAACCACCGCGAGCCCGGCCGGGGGCTGCGGGAGCGGGCTCCTGGGCGAAGTTGTCCCCTCGCGCGGCGCCGCCTCCTCGGTGTCTTAGGCGCCCCCTCGGTGCCCCCTCATGCCGCCTCGCTCTTTCCCGAACGCCGCCCGCCGCAGCCCAACTTTCCGCTGGGAGCCGGGCCGGGCGGGGGCGCGGAGCTGCGGGGTGCTCGCCGCGGCCCGCCTGGACTCAGCCTGCGGACGCGGCCCGGGGGACGCGGCGAGCCGAGGGAGGGCGGCGGCGGCGGCGGGTGCGGAGCGGCGGCCGGGGCGCTGACCGCCCCCGCGGGAGGAGGGGCCGCGCCGGCGGAGGGGGCGGCGCCGCCGGGACCCCGGGGCCACCTGCTGGCGGAGCCGGGCCGCCGCCATCCCCCGGGGGCCGCCACCACCGCTGGCCTCGGCCGCGCCGCGCCCCAACGAGGCACGGAGGCCGCGGCACAGCGTCCGTGGCGGCCCGGGCCCACGGAGCTGCCCCCGGGCGGACACTGCGCTCTGCGGGGCCTCCCTCCGCCGCTCAGGGAGGCGAGCTCGCCTTTAGAAATAAGCCAGGGATCGCGGCTCCTCAGCGGCCAGCCTTCGCTCTGTCTGAGAGCCGGGCGGTGCCAGGGCCAGACACCGATTTTAGGCAACTTTTAGCGGGGGGTGAAGAACTTACCCATCCGCGTTGTGCAAGCAAACGGGAACAGATTTGAGAATGCGCTGCCGAGAAGACTATGGGAAAGAGTGAAGTTCAATTCTTTACCCCCATCCTGGGGCTGTAGGAGGAAGTTGTGTGCAAGGGGTCGGCTTGGAATGGGGCTTGGGGGAGGGGAGTACAAGGGGTGAGAAATACAAGGGGTGCAGGTTCTAGGGAAACAGTGGTCATGGCAGGTGGAGGGGACTCTGCCACTTGACGCAGAAATACCGAGATAATTGACATCCATAGATGGCTATTGGTAGATTTATGTAATATTCTTCTTTGAGGAGCTAAGAGTGCGCTCACTGTAGGCGCCATTTCTTACAACATGTTTTAAGCGGGAATAGGAAAGATTTTTACATCATCTGGGAATGGTAGTACGGCAACATGATCTGACACGCTGAAAAGTACTACCTCCAAATCTACGGTTTCTAGACCAAAGTACAAAGGGAATAAAGGGATGGGCTGCCGCTTCAGCACCTTAAGGTCAGGTTGCTCTAAAGAGTCCAGAGGGAGCGTGGGGGATGGGGGGTTTGTCTTATGAAATAGGTGAGTCGCTCTCAGCTCTCAAAGGAGACAGTCATTCAAAAGCCACTCTGATATAGCAGTGACATTAAGAGCAGGACAGCTACCAAGGAAGGGCAGTGTTGGAAGCAACCAGTGCCAATAAAATCAAAGAATGGGTGATCAGCAAACCAACTGGAGACAACAAGATAGACACAGGTATGGAGCAAAAGATGGGAAAGTTGGTTACACCCGGCTGGCCTGGGGTAGAGACCTAGAGCTCTCATTCAGCTCAATGAAACAAATCCCTTTCAGAGATGCTTAATTGTGTTTTGTTTGTTTTGCCTACTTCCCTTGAGATTATAGAGGCTGAGTCCTTTCCCCAGAAAAGTGTATGAGAGAAACGAAATTGTATTTGGTGGAGTTCTTAGATCTCTTTAGAATTTTGAGAGGTGGTAAAGGGATTAATATAATAACGATTTTGGCAGTTGCATAAATTGGTTCTTCCCCACCGCCTCCCTTTGAAACCAGAATTTTAAAAACCTGAAGATGTCTGGGATGTTTTTAAGGTATGAAAACATTCTATACCTCATTCTGAGGCTCAGTTTGTGCGTGCGTGCGTGCGTGCGTGCGTGCGTGTGTGTGTGTGTGTGTGTGTGTGTGTGTGTGTGTGTATTCCCTTGCCAAATGTTATTCCAATAGCCCCAAGGCTGAGTACTGTGCTGATTGAGTAATGCTGAGTATTGTTCATGCCTTGGAGCATAAACTAAGATTTTATTGTGCTTAAACTGTAATGAAGTCATTGAAGGAAGCAAATCCCTAAGGAAGATATTAACAAATTATCAACTTTAAGTACAGGTAAGAATGCAAATTCTACCTATTGAAAGGAATATTCTTTATAAAGTTAAGGCAGTATTTTAAGGGAATGTCTAAAACTAATAGTAACTATTTATTGGTCCTCAAACTCTCCAAAGAAGGGTGATATGTAAAGGATATGAAACAGCCTGTCATATTAAATTTTAGAGAAAATCAACAAATTTTAATTACTTTCTACTTGGTACAAACCACTGTGGCCTTATCTAACAAATTTATAGATCTACAGTTAGAATTAAGTAATATTAAACTGAGATTGCCTTTAGTAGGTAGATATCTGTAATAGTCTGCTTTAATTAACTTAATAAAATACCACAGACTGCCTGACTTAAACAAGAAATTTACTTTCACTGGGCGTTGGTGGCACAGGCCTTTATTCCCAGCACTCAGGAGGCAGAGGCAGGTGGATCTCTATGAGTTCAAGGACAGCCTGGTCTACAAAGCAAGTTCCAGGACAGCCTCTAAAGCCACAGAGAAACCATGTCTCGAAAAACAAAACAAGAAAATTACTTTCATAACACTTCGAGGATTCCAAGTAGTCCAAGATCAAGGTCGGATACAGCATGTAACAAGCTTTCTTGTTAGGCTATCTTTGGAGCACCAGCTGGAAAATGATGATACAGAGACTTCTTATTAATTATGAAAACTTAGCCTATTGCTTAGTCTTGTTCCTAACCATCTCTTATAACTTAAATTAACCCTTTTATAGTAATCTACATTCCATCATGTGACGCTACCTCTCTTCCATCCTGCGCCTCCTGTTGCCCCTCCCTGTCTCCAGCCATCTCCTCCATGCCTAGATACCTCCTCCTCTTCCTTTCTCTCCCCAGAAACCCCACCTATACCTGCCTAGCTATTGGCCGTTCAGCTTTTTCTTGCACCAATCACAGCAGTACATCTTCACACAATGAATAAACAACTGTGTTTCTGGGAAGGGCTCTTTTCCTTCCTTGTAAATTGCTGCCTTTCTGTTTGGTTGGTTGGTTTTTGGTTTTTTGAGACAGGGTTTCTCTGTGGCTTTGGAGGCTGTCCTGGAACTATCTCTTGTAGATTAGGCTGGTCTCAACTAGTAGTCAAATCTCCCTTTTATCTAAAAAGTATGTTTTAGATTTATTATTTATTTTATTATTTTATGTTTATAAGTGTTTTGCCTGGATGTATGCCGTGTGTGCTTGGTGCCCACAGGGGTCAGAAGAGGGCCTTGGATCACCCAGAACAGGGGCTACAGATGGCTGTGAGCTTCCACGTGGGTGCTGGGAATCAAACCTGGGTCCTCTGCAAGAGCGACAAGTGCTGAGCCAGGTCTCTAGTCCTTTCTTTATACTTATGAGACCATAAGCATAAAAAAATCTAATCTATTGGATTAGAGCCCTGCCCTTTGGACTTCCCGTAACCTTAACTCTCATCAGTTAAAGGCCCCATCTCCATATCCAATCATATTAGAGGTTGGGGCTTCAACATACAGATTTTGAGGGTCAGTAGAGTTGATTTTGTTTGAATATGATGTTTGAGTTGAGGTGTCCTGGCAAACCCTTTGGATGTAGTAAGGTCATTGCTGTGCTCAGTATTTATAGGTTCCCAGAAACTTTGGAACTACAGGTTTACATGTTCCTGGAGCTTGGGGAAGACTGGGCAAATATTCCATGACATCATGCAGGCCAAACATCTTATTATGTGACCATTCCAAAAGCCAGTTGATTATAAAGAGTAACTAAGCATAGTATTTAATCTTTGACCAAGACTGGTAACATTAAATAACCATAACATAAATTCTTAAAATTCTCTGAAAACTCTGCCCTAAGAAATAAAAAGTATTATGAAATTTTCAATCCTTTTTTTTTTTTTTTTTTTTTTTTTGGTTTTTCGAGACAGGGTTTCTCTGTATTGTTTTGGAGGCTGTCCTGGAACTTGTTCGGTAGACCAGGCTGGCCTCGAACTCACAGAGATCTGCCTGCCTCTGCCTCCCAAGTGCTGGGATTAAAGGTGTGCACCACCAACGCCCAAGTTTCAATCCTTTTTTAGAGCTCTCTTGTCCAAAAGACATATAACACAAACCATACGTGTAACTTGTTTTTTTTATTTACTACATAAAAGATAATGAAATTAAATTCATTAATACGTTTTTACTTAACTGGAACCATTAAACTGTTATCACTTTGATGCATAATCAGTCGAATGTTCTTGAGATGTTCTATATTCTTTTTGTACAAAGTTTTGAAACTGGTATGTGAAGTGTATTTAATACTTGGAGAACAAATCAATTCTAACCACCTAAACTTCCTGGTATGTGAGGTGTATTTAATACTTGAAGAACAAATCAACTCAAACTACCTAAACTTCTGATGCTTGATAACCTCAGGTCATTGGCGGCTGCCCTGCTGTCTTTTATAAAGATCACATTTAGGTCAAAACTCAGTAATCTCCCTTTGCCATATCCCTGGTTTGATTATACTTCCCTTTCCCATGTAAGCAACATTCATTGGTTCTGAAGATTGGGATGGGATGATCTGTGAGTGATTTGGTTTTCCATCTTCCCAACTATGTTGTCTCTGGAACAAGCAAACTTTAAGACAAAGGACTGATAGGACTCCCAGAATTCTCAACAGGACTTAAGGTAACCTGCATACAACAGGTTTGTAGGATGTTTTGATGTTTGTGGGATTCTATTTTGCTAAAGAAACAATTACTTATACCATACCAACACCACAGACTTCTTTGAGATGAATTCTGCATGTGAGAGTAATTTGAAAAGTAGAAACTGAAGATTGAATACTGTTAGTTCATGCCATACATGAGAAGGTTAGATGAAGTAATTTATTTACCCCTTTAATTATAGTTCTCACTTTTGCCACTGAGCAAAATCCGTGGGTCTTTCGACATTCGATGTGTTCAGATGGTACTGAATGTCAACCTGAATGTTATCTCAAATGCTAGAGGCCAGGCAACATGCAACGTAGTTTGGAGAATATTTTCTGTTCTCAGACTTCCTGGATTTGAAACTCAGATTTATTGCACAATCTTGGGCAGATGAGGGTCTAATGTGATATAGTACCCTAACATTAATATATCTGCAGAAAATTAATGTAAAGAGATTGACAACCAAAAAAAACAGGCATGGTGGCCAGGAGATGAAGGTGTGGAGATCCTGAGTTCAGAGGCAGT